CCGTAGTATAAAGTCGAACGTCCTTCGATAGTTGGGTATATTCTCGTGTAAGATATATATGTTGTTGATTCAAACTTACATTTGCTGTTTCATGTCTTCCGGTTAATCGTCGTTCATTATCTCTTCCATAACATTTGATGTGTGCTTTGTGGCGTAATTCAAGTGCTTTGATTGCTCTATGGATAGCTCTGCAAACAAAGAATTTCTTAAGCAAGATGCAATATAGAAGTGCTTGCATTTATGTCAAACGCTGTTAGACTATATTGTCTTCTTTCCATTCAATTAAAATTTTCTTTTGTTAAAAAGAATAATAATGCTACCTACCAAAGTTAATACCGGAAACATTTGGAACATTATAATTGTGCTTTTTTTTTGGTAATAAACGAGAATGAAAAAAAAACTGTTTCTAAGATCTTACATATTTCAAACAAATAGATCTTATTGTTTACTGATGTCAGCACTGTTGTTGACATCCTGACTTTTTTTGTATTGCTTGTTGAAATTCCGCATCTATGTTTGAATGCTGCGCTCCTTTCTAGATTGGCCTTCAAAAACAAATGTTGATACTAACTTTGTACTTCAAAAATTACTCTTTTGAAAAAAAAAAAAGAAAAATATTGCTAGGTTTAGAAGTCATCAACACAGTATAACAAAGTTTGACATAATTTTAAAAACTGTCGGATCATATGTTACTTACTCGATGCCATTAGGTTGACGCATAGCTAAAGTTGAAAAATTAGTATGACATCCAGCACCATTCCAATCACCTGGAACAGGTTTTGGATCAAAACTAATTTGTACACCAAACTCCTCAGCAATACGTAATAATAAATAACGTGATGTCCAAAGTTGATCACCAGCATCAACACCTTCACATGGACCAATTTGATATTCCCATTGAGCTGGCATTACTTCAGCATTAGTACCACTAATACTAATACCGGCATATAGACATGCTTTGTAATGTGCTTCTACAATATCACGACCGAGTGCTTGACTTGCGCCAACACCACAATAATAGGATCCTTAAAAAAAAAAGTATGAAAACGAAATAAATGATATCTATTACATCTATGCGTTTCTTTTTTCTATACTAACCTTGTGGAGATGGAAATCCACCTTTTGGCCATCCAAATGGCCAACCATCACGATCTAAAAGTGTATATTCTTGTTCAAGACCAAACCATGGATGTTGATCATATGCTGCTTTCATTGCTTCAGCACATTTGAATCGTTTGTTTGTAGCTTGAGAAAAAAAAAACATCCGATTGAAAATGTTCTATGATAATGTTTTATTTCTTACCGGTTGGTTCGTTAATGTATTTGTATGCTTCACACATAACTAATATATTTTGACCAAGCATAAATGGATCTTTAAACATAGCTATTGGTTTAAGATAGATGTCTGAATCTGAATCTTCAGCTTCTCCGGTTGATGAACCAGCGTAGTGCCACAAAGGTATTTCTTCTGATGACTTTGGTACTTTATCAAGTGTTCGAGTTTTAGCTAAGTAATAGAAAAGAACAAGGTTAATTAAACCAAAGGATAATGTTAATCTATGATAATCTATTACCTCGAAGATTTTCTCCAGTACCATCAATCCAAATGTAGGTAGCTATTATTTTAGTGTCTGGCTGTGGTAATGACAAATATCGAGTAAGAGTAGCTTTGTTCATACTTGTCACACTTCCTCTTCTGAATTCCATCACTTTGATTTTATATATATATATATATATATGTTATTTCGATCTGAAAACAAAAAAATCTAATGATAACCATCATATCGAACAGTATTTTTTATTTTCTTTACAAATATTTTCATAGATCTTACTCTACTGATTAAGAAAAAAAAATGTTTTTCAACATTTGTAAATCGTTTTTTAAGATCGGAAAAAACACTGTTTTTATTGTTTGTGAAATTTATTATATTGATCATATTCGTATGTTTTTGTAAGTCTATCTCGTTCTTTTGTGTAACTAATGACTCGATATGTTTTATATTGGTTAATTCATTGTCCTACAAGTCATAAAAGTATACTTCGGCTGTTTTTTTTTCCTTTACCGAGGAAAAACACCTAGAATGTTGTCTATATTTTTTTTTGATTTTTAAACTTATCTGATTTCCATTAACTTCAGTTTTCTTCGAATTTTTACACTAACTGAAATTTTCTGTAAAGAAGATGAGAGGTTCAGTTTTCATGCTGATTTCGAATCTGATTATTGTAACTGAAGAACACATACTTTTAATAATGGAAGCGAGAAATACGCGCAGATTTTAAATCATTTTTTGTTAAGTGTGAAAAATCGATGCACATACAGTATGTAAAAAAATTATTTGGGCACCTATCTTAGCTATCTTATAAATAGAATTTCATCGTGAAGGAAAAATATTTTCTTGACTTTCTTGATATCATTCGATAGCTCGAAATCTCTACTTCATTGTCCAAGCAAAAAAATTAAAAACAACGAAATTCTCATAAGTTTTTGAGAGTTTTCAGGAAATCACTTGATTTCCCAGCCAAAAAAATTATTTTGACGCTTACGGTTTTTTCTCGATAATTCCTCTATTTTTCGTCAAAACCTATTCAATTATATCTCATTTGATAGAGAAAACATTTCCCTACATGTTGGTATGGCTTACAATTGAAAAAATATAGGTGAAATCTCAAAATCCTTCTAATACCTGAAGCACTATAGGTTCTACAGAAAAGCTTAGGATTTCAGTCTGGAGAAAGTCAAAAGTCAACTCAAAATATATCATTCGATAGAGAAAAAAAACTGAATCGAATGGTATCTCTTATTTTTAGAAGTGGGGATAAAAATCAGGTGTTAATTACTAATTATAATTAGTTTTTTTGCATAGACCTTCCATTAATCTCAATTTTTCATAAAAAAAATTACATTGAATATTTTTTTGAAAAATACAGTCTTGTAGTGAATTAAATTTTCTACAAAATAATGTACTTGATTACACCATTCCTATTTTCCTTAAGCTAGCTAAGACCTTATCTTTTCAAGTGCATAACTGATGCAGAAAGAAAAAAAACATTTTTCTCGTTCTCTCTGTCTAACTGGATGTACAGTCAGTTTGCGACAGAACGAGAAAAATGTTTTTTTTCTTTCTGCATCAGTTATGCACTTGAAAAGATAAGGTCTTAGCCAGCTTAAGGAAAATAGGAATGGTGTAATCAAGTACATTATTTTGTAGAAAATTTAATTCACTACAAGACTATATTTTTCAAAAAAATATTTAATGTAATTTTTTTATGAAAAATTGAGATTCATCGAAGGTCTATGCAAAAAGCTAATTATAATTAGTAATTAACACCTGATTTTTATCCCCACTTCTAAAAATAAGAGATACCATTCGATTCAGTTTTTTTCTCTATCGAATGATATATTTTGAGTTGACTTTTGACTTTCTCCAGACTGAAATCCTGAGATTTTCTGTAAAATCTATAGTGCTTCAGGTATTAGAAGGATTTTGAGATTTCACCTATATTTTTTCAATTGTAAACCATACCAACATGCAGAGAAATGTTTTCTCTATCAGGTGAGGTATAATTGAATAGGTTTTGACGAAAAATAGAGGAATTATCGAGAAAAAACTGTACGTGTCAAAATAATTTTTTGGCTGGGAAATCAAGTGATTTCCTGAAAACTCTCAAAAACTTATGAGAATTTCGTTGTTTTTAATTTTTTGCGTGGAAAATGAAGTAGAGATTTCGAGCTATCGAATGATATCAAGAAAGTCAAGAAAATATTCTTCCTTCACGATGAAATTCTATTTATAAGATAGCTAAGATAGGTGTCCAAATAACTTTTTTACATACTGTATATAAGAAACTAGGTTTTATTAATGAGCAACTCAATCTCTATCGAACTATGTGCAACAAGATACTACTTTACTTGTATTTTGCCTCACAAACACTCTAGATAAGAAAAGAATACTATGAGAATATTATTTCTTACTACTTTGCTAGCTTTTATCCTTATATATTTCTTTAGTTCTATCGTTGCCGTGAACAGATAATATTATTATTTGATACTGACTTGTTTTTTTTTCTCTTTCTCTGCCGTGCCTGTAGTTTGTGTTTGTGTTTTTTGTCCTTAACGGACATCTATGTTTCTTAGTAATAAAATAAAAGAAGAGAAAACTAAAAGAAACAAATAGTAACAAAAGCGTAATTTGTATACTGTAAAGGGTAAGAAAATAATTAAAATAAATAAATATTGAACATTTTTTAATAATAATTTATGAACTATTCTGAAATGAAAATATAGAGAATTTGATAACATCAAGTAAAAAAGTATTTTCTCTCAATACGAAGAAAAAATACTAAGGACATGGAATAACATAAAAAAGAGCTCGACAACAAATTCAACTTATGACAGTTATACTACAAAAAAGATATTATGGGTGTGAGTGGGTGTGTGGAGTGTGGGTGTGGGTGGTGTGGGTGTAGTGTAAGTAAAGAACATCCACACCCACACCCTCCTTCAATCGGCAGTCATTTGCTATGGTATGTGTGTAAATTTCTTATTGACTCTACAAATGAACTAATAACCATAGTTATCCAATACTACGTGAACAGCCACTGGAAACACTTCATCAACTGTACTTTCACATAATCATTTTTAATTGAAAAACGCTGTTTTGCATCATTTTCTAATCGAATGGTCTTGTGCAAAATCAGTCTGTTAGAGAAGGACAAAACTATCAACTACCTCCATTAAATTAATTATTACTTGAAACTACTTGATAGACGAAAATCGTAAGAAAAGATCAGTATCTGGTGTAAGCTATTCGCAATCATTGTATCACTATCTTTAACAAGATCATGAGTTCGATCAAAAAAAATAGAAGTTCAAATTCAACATTTAATGTGCTGTCCGCAAAAATTTTTCTGACATTTTTTAAATATCATTTCAATTATAAAAGATAAAATAACGTTATAGAAGTAGATTAATTTTCTAGTAAACATAGATAAAGAGAGTTTTATGGTGAAAATTGTATAATAGTCGGTGAAGGTATTACAGAGTTTCTAGTATAGTCTGATGTTTTACTTGAGTGCTTTATCATATTGATTTTCTTTTTCAATGAGAATTCCTTTCGATGTAGTAGATTAAATAAATTATCTTTCATGATAAATCGTTTCGACCATATAAATAATAATAATGATAGAAAAGTAATCAATGCAAAAGTTAAAAATAATCCATTCATTGAATTAATTTCCATGGAAACTGTTATTTCATTTAAATTAGGACAGTTTCGTTTTTGAAACCATTTTTGTCTTAAATCATCAAGTTGACCTGATTCGCTTAATAATAAAATATTAACATCTAAATCTTTAGTATATAACCATTCTTTCGGTGTAACAATTCCAAAAACTCCTTTTTCAAAATCATCTTCAACTAAAGTTAAATTACAATAAATATTATTAGTAATATATTCACTAACACCATTATCCATAAAAGATGCATCAATAATCCCAGCAAGTAAACTATCATATAAGTTTTGTTGAGATTTTAATGGATAATAATTTCGACTACCAAAAGATATTTCTCTTAAATAATAATCTTCACTAGCTGTTTATTTCTGAAATAATATCTTTTGATTTTGATATTGTTAAATAAGATGCTAAATTTGCAGTATAGGTAACTACTAATATTAAACTTAACATATATAAACCAAAAGTTAATAAACATTCAGCAGCAGTATTAACATGAAAATTTACACCATATCCAAAAATATTACAAAAAGAATACCAAATACTCATTGTTAATTGAGATAATATTGATCGATTTTGAAATATTTCATTATCTTTTCTTTCTAGAAGACAAATTAATAAACCAGTATAGATACAAACACCTAAAACTAATAGTCAAAGATTGCGTGAAAATGCTTTTAAGAATGATAATAATTCAATAGTAACATCAGATGTTTTTCCCATTATTATACGTAACGAATTATCAAATATAGCATTAGAAAAATCAACTAATTCTCTTCGTGTAGCAATAACTGTAACATCACCAATAGCAATACCATAATCATCATTAACTACTACTTGAATTAATCCTGAATATGTTTGATTTGATGGTGCTAATTGAATTTTTGGAATAAATCCAATTTTATCAGCTAACAATTCAATAAGATCAGGTACATAACCAGTTAGTTTCGTTGTATTCTGTCCAGATTCATCAATAACATTTGTAACTATTGTAAATGGAATTGATTCAATAACACCAACTCTTATAGGTACATCTTTAAGTATTGCTCGACCAGTCGGAGGTATTAAGGAATTTCCTGGCCAAATAATAACATTTGTATTTTCAGATATTTTCCAATCAGGGGGTGGGTGTGGGTGTGGATGTGAATCTTTTCTTTAACAAGGACTCACATCCACGCCCTCTACATAATGCATCTTTCATTTGTATCGATGACTGTTAAAAACTTTTCATGTCGATGCGTCTTTTCTGTTGCTAAGTCAGAAGAATACGATGAATAGAAAATAATTTTGCTTTCATGTCACATTTTTGAATCAAAAGGACCGGAAATTACCAATCAAAATGGCTGAATTTTGTTATTAAATGATTCCTAACAAGATTCTACATCTAGCAGGCTATGAATTAACACAAACCAGGTATGGTCCAAGTTTCGTCTGTAGACGCCCTTGTCCGTATAGAGAAAGACAGTAAACTTGCTTGATGACATCATTGAAGTATTCTATGATACCGACAGAATGAAGTTCGAATCGAATGTCGTATAACTGCTATTGCCAATCGACAAGCTGTTTTTTGTAGTTGGCAAAAAATTTGTAATGTTGAAGATGTTCAATCGTTCTTGCTTCTCAGTATGCCAGTTTCCAATTCCATGTTCGCAGTATTTTAGCTAAACATATCAACACTCGAAAAAATACATACCGCCAACGAACTAATTCAGCAATGACTTGATTTCGAAATAATGAAATGTATAATTTCTGGAATACCTGTCATAGAGAGTACCAGAATTCTGAAATTTTTATATTCTTGAAATTCTGTAGTGGTCGTCCTCGTGTCTCATTCTTTTAGGCATCTTACATTTTGTTCCATACATCCTGTTTCATCTCATGTAACAGCTATTTAGATGCTCATACATAGCAAAAGAAGATCCATGTCATGATACCAAATATAGCTCACAAAGTATTATGTGACAAAAATTACAGATGCCCTACATGTAAACAGTTTGGTAGCTACACTAGAAAATCATTGAAAAATGAATTAACGTTTGCTATCCATATGTGTAAAATTGTGCGCAAGCGTTTTAAAAAGTAAACTTTTTCTTATCACTTTACAAATTAGAATGGACATAGTGAGCTGCAAAAAAAAATGTCATACAGACGATTTTATTATATGCCTCCGGACAATTATTGAATCTTACGCTTTCTGAAATAATTTCCATATTTCTCGTTTCTTGAAGTGCTTTCTAGAAAAGTACGACTTCGTAATCTTTCGCTGAGTGCTTTGCCAGCGTAAAGCAACATGAAAATGAGGTGTGGGTGTAGGTATGGCTGTTAGGAAAAAGAAGACATATACCTACATCCATTCACAACCAATATCCACTCTCCACACTCACAGCCACATCCAAAGCCACATCCACCCCTACACACCCACACCCTTCATATGCATATACAATGATTTTCTTTTTTGAATGCTTAATTAATTCGACAAGTTATAATTCAAATCATTCATAACATGCTATTCATGGACATTTGTTTTCTTATTTGAAAATCCATTGAAATATAAACTGTTCTATTTTGTGCTACATCATGTGTTTCAAATTCTTTGTTTTGAATCTTTTACAGGATTTTGTCCTTTAGAATATTTGAAATAGAGAACTTCATGCAAAGGAAATTAAGCTACCTATTAAGATCTGTGAGCAAGATCAAAATGAGTCATGGTAACTCTTGGAAATTTCTCGAATACTTGAATTTTTGTTGAATTTTATCTATAAACTCATTCCCTTCTATTGAATTTTCTTTATAAAGGTAGAAATTGTCCGAATAGTTATGTTCATTCATAAATTCATGTACAAATACATTCTTCCCATATCCAATCAGTCCCTTATGCAAAGACACAGCGTCCTATGATGCTTTCAATCTCTAACTATACGAATCTCTTCGAGAAAGGTCGAAACCTAAGTCGTAGTGTTCTTAAACATAATATTCACACTCACTCCCTTCCTTTGAATTATTGCTGTTGCATAAGAGGAACTGCGAAAGCCAATATAACAATACATTATTACTCGATATATTTTAAGTTCATTACTTCCATTGAATCTTGAAATTGATTTATTTTTAAAAGAAATCAAAATAAAAAAATTACAATAATCTATTGTTAATCGGTATATGAATTCTTAAAGAAGAAAAATCCATTGTCACATTGTAGAATGAGCTTATTCAGTTTGAAATATATTCCGAAGATCTTCATTATTTTGGCATCTAGCATAAGATGATGGAGAAAAGAAAAAAATAAAAATTCATATACATACCCTTCGACAAATTGACGTTTGCTTATTTTCTGGGATGTATTGTTGAGACCAAACATAGTGAAGACCATAGCAGCAAGAGTTTTCCCATCAATATTCTTCCTTTTTTGGGGATCTGCCAGTATCAGCTTGTAAATAAGAGATCGGTATTCATTTTAGCATTTCACGAAGAAAATAAGAGGACAAATCTTACCACTTTGGACATGAAATTGAGCATCTCGTCGAAACTAATATATCCATCGCCCGATACATCGATTCTATAGAGTTAAAGAATTAAACTCTCCATTCGATATGTATTGAAGAATTTGCGAATGCGGAAAACAATGATTTTCGGAAAAAATAAATCTGACTTAGTGAGAGAGCATTTTACTATTTCGAAAGTATTTGTTTCATTTCCATGGTATGATGACTTTTTCCATCAAAAAGGCTAGCTCTTCTAATCTATTGTGATTGTGTCTAGACAGTGAAATATAAACTTACATATCGAACACTCGTTCAAGTCGCGTCTCTAGAGCTTTTTCCCGAAAAACGGTGATTCCTACGATGAATTCAGTAAAATCAATTGCACCATCTTCATTGGTATCAAATATTGTGAACACTTTACTGGAATAAGCCAAAATAAAAATGATGAAATATGAAAAAAACCAATAGCCTACTCGACTAAAACGCCATTCTGGTCGTGTTCTCCTAAGAGTTCTTCGTACATCCGAGTGAATTGATATTTGTTCATTTTGCCTGATGGATAGTCGCGTTTGAATCGCTTGAGAGAAAGAAAAACAAAATAAGATTTAGTAAAAGAACTTTTTTTTAAAGATATTATATTCCAGAAACCTGATAGAACGATCGTATTTCTAAATAAGACAAAGAAAGGTTTAGATTATATTCTCGTATCTCACTTTTACTAACCTTGTTCGCTAAGATTAGTGTTCGATTTGAGTATGGCAACATCTGACAAAAATTTGTTTCGTTATACTAATCACAATCAACAAACAAAATGACAAACCTCGATCACTAAGTCCTCCAGATGCTCGTGGCCTTGACTCTTCGGCACCCATGATTTTGATGATTACAGTTGTGCTTGTTTGAAGAAAATGATAATCTTAAGATAAAAACAAGTCAGAAATGAACAAATGATACTAGAGATACGACAATGACGACTAGGCATGTGTGGGATCACGTTTTTTTCAGTTCCAGTTCTGGCCTGGTCCGGTCCCGGTAAATTTAATCTACTCTTGGTTCCAGTTCTAGTGCCTGTTACAATAATTTTACCGTTTTGAATAATAGTTCGGTAATCCTATCTGGGGTCGAAACTAAAAAAACTGCTTAAAACAAGAATGAGAGTGAAGATGAGGGATATTTTCACATGCACACACTTTCATTTTCAACATTTCTACCTTTTAACATTGATATTCTTTTTCTTTTCGACATTTTTAATTGCAAACAAAGTTAGAAAAATTATTGATCCTCGAACTTGGTCCTAGGAGTGATACTTTATCCATGTTTTATCTTGAAAAGGTAAACTGTTGTACTTTTCTGGGTAAAGAAGAATTACAAAACAACATTTTTCTTATATAGATTAAAAAAGCAACAATTTTTCACTCTACCCAGTAAAATAAAGTTAACGAGGGAACATTCCCAACTGTCACACTGCTTTTGAGTCGAGCGTACGCGCATCACGTAGGCCCCAATGATCTATGAATATTCTGGAAAAAGTTCGTGCCGCTAGCTTATTACTGCAGAGATATTTCATTTTTACTGTACGTATAGGCAAAAAGCCGTGGTTCCCTCAGGAACACTAAGGAAACTGAGTTTCGAATTTCAATTTGAAACTTTGTACAGGGACGAGTCTCAATGAGAATAGTTTGTTGTGAAAGTTTCAGATCTTTTGATTACTCCTAGTCTGAAATAAGAACATCAGAATCTGTTGGTGTATATAAGCTATTCTACCATAGCTGTATCTTAAGAAAGGAACAACGAAAAGATCTGAAATTTTCACAATAAACTATTCTCACTGAGGTGTATCTCTATGCAAAGTTTCAAGTCGAAATTCGAAACTTAGTTTTCTAGTGTTCCTGAGGGGACCACGGCTTTTTTTCTTAAACATACAGTAAAAATGAAATATCTCGGCAGTAAGAAGCAAGACGCACAAACTTTTTTCAGAGTATTCATAAATAATTAGGGCCTACATGGTGCGCATACGCTCGACTCAAAAGCGATGTGACAGTTGGGAATGTTCCCTCGTCAGCAAGATAGTTGCCATGCGTGTGTATTATTTCGTTTATCCCCAGCGAGAAACATGCCCTATGTGCGTCTCTCTGCCATCATCATCAGTGAGAGAGATGCCCTATGTGTGTTTTCGTCCTCATCCACAGCACGAGAGCCGCCCTCACCATCAGCGAGAGGCACGCCCTCTGCGTGTCTTTTCACACTCATCCTCAACAAGAAACATATCTGTATGTCTTCTTGCCCGCACTCTCAGCGAGAGAGATATACCAAGTGTGCCTTTCCATGCTCATCTACTAGCTTGAATATCTGCAATGTTTCCTAAATATCTTATACTCCCATACCTCCTGCACCTGAACGTTGGTCAAGTATACTACGACTTGAATGAATTTCCAAAAAATCTAAAAAAGACACTACATGACGACGCCAAGTGGAAAAAGAGTTTTTCCGCTCGGGATGCAATCAGCAATTAGAAATTTTCTCCATTTTATGGTCTGGTAGAAATCATGTTACAGATATTGAAGAGAGGAGATGGTTATTATGAATTTTATGATTTTCATTGACTTTGAGGGCTTATAGCGAGTTTGGATTTATTCGCCTGAGTTGTTTCCTATTGACGTAGGCTGGACTTTGAAATCAGACAATGTACCAAGACAAGACCTATATCGTACATGATGTGCCTGCTTGAGTCCATTTTATAAAATCTAAAAGACAGAAACGTCAATGTTACATTATCTCATTCAATAGCTGAATAAGCGAGCCAATGCAAAAGTATTATTTGGATATAAAATATAATCATGTCAATACAACAAAGAGAACATTAACTGGAATACTCTATGAACTAGAGTCAGAGCTGAAAATTCAACTTCGTTATTCAAGATGTTTCCATACATTATAGTATTCTGTCTTTCTATAGCACCCATAGCAAGAGAGATCCTCTATGTGTATCTATCCATGTAATCCTGAGCCAGAGAGACACGAGTGTCTGAAATCAATAACGGAGAACTAAATACGTCAATTTCAGGTTTACAGAGAAAACATATTTAATAATTCCATTCATCTTTCGCTTTTCATATATATGCAGACCCCCATTCTGTTTAAAAAAAGTTATAGATAACAGCAATAGACCGTCAAGACCCATCATTTCATATTGAAATGAAGTGCTTTTTTTTGCTTTGAACTCAGAAAGAATTCAAATAGAACATTGTATGGTTGATTGATGTGATTTATAAGATAATTGGCCTTGAGACATAAAAAATCAAGTTCAGTCTTTAATTTCGGTTAGGACCTCTTCTATTCTCATAGTTCCAGGTGTGGGTGTGGGTGTGAACATCAGTAAGAGAAAAATAAACTCACATTCGCACCAACATCCACACCTGCATAGAATAATAAAGAACTCGTAGAAACTATCGTTCAAATAAGCCAAATTTATGAAATATGATTTCTCTCATACGAAAACCCTCAATTTATAAGTCCAACATATTGCAAGGTGCAATATATATATACGATAACATTTTTTACGGTAAAATATTTCATCTAACTATTACGACCAGTGTGAAAATAACACCTATCAAGCTTTTTCCATAAGTTTCATGGTTATTAAGAATTGTTTTAGTATTTTGTGAAGATTTTGAATTGTACAGAAACGGACGATATGTGCATAATAGAAACATGGAGACTTTCATCTAAACTGGTTTTTTACTCAGCTCAAGTCGTTACTATGAAAGTATGTTATCACACAATATGATGAAATATGTCTATCAAATGTATGATCGACTTTTGCCTGACTATGGGTGCCAAATATACTCATCAGTATGAGTTATTTTAAAGACTGTACGAATGGAGGATATCAGTTTCTCAACAACCGAAAGAATATTAAGAGCTTCATATGGTTTACTATCTTTGGATTTGGGGCACAAAGCAAACGGTTTTTAGGCAGAAAAGCACTATAAAGTCACAAAAAACTATTTGAAAAGAAGAAAATAAGAGTGCCGATAAATGAGCGCAAAAATGTAGAAAGGAGATAGTTTTTACAGAAAAAAAAATCAGATTTCTTGTTAGATTTACAAGAAATAAATCTAAATTTTTTGGGATCCTTTATTCTAGAAATGAAATTTTTCTTCCCTTTGGTGTAAAAAATTGAGCTGAATTCAGAGCTCGCCTCAAGAATACTTTTTATGGCTCAAATCTGTTCGAGAATATAGTTAATACGTCAAATCTCATGTAAAGAAATTAGGCTTCCAAGAGTTTTTGCATCAAATAATTCAATTTCCTTCACAAGCTGCTCCTCACAGAAGTAAGAATTTGAACAAACGAACCCGAAAATGTCTCTTCTTGAGCGAATGTTATGCATAAAGAGAGCTCACTTTTCAATGGATAAACGGTTCACAAAAATAGCCTCGAACGCATTTTCGAGCAAGCTAAAACCTATTGAAGTACTAATTGGAAAACGAGATTTGATCCTTCGTCCTGCTGTTACGAAATGTAATTTTCAAACAAGTATCCGCATCGATATTTACTTAGTTAAATGCAAATGTAATTAAAAAATATAAATATTAATACAATTAACATATACTTCTGTATATTTTCTCATGAAGACTCCATTTGAATACAATAAACTCGAAATAGTGGTTTAGATCTTACTCACAAGCGTAAATTCTTTCGCGTTGAATTTCATACGTTGCAAAATTGTAATAAGAAAGTCAGAGTAAATGCTCACCTTATAAAACAGTGCATATATACTGCGAATTTACAATAATTTAACTTGTTCACGCCTTTATCGTCTCTCCTTTGATACACATTACAGCTAGATAGTACTCTTCAAAAAAGTGTTTTAGTTTCAAGAACGTTTGCTCTCTCTTATCTCTCTTTCACAACAGTTTCGGTGACAAGTGCGAGCTAGGCGATCGTAGAAAAAAACCCAAAGAAGATAAAATCTTACCTTTACAGCAACTAAGTTAGTAGATGGTCGTTTTTCGTTTTGGTATGGTTTAGGTGGCTCCAGGGTGTGGGTGTGGCTATGAAAGAATTAAAGATCCACACCCACACGCTCACCCTTTATCTTTGGAACTTCGAAGATTTTCAAAAAAACTGTCAAGACTAGATAACCAAAAAAAAAAAAGCTTGAGGGTGAGGATGAGGTTCGAATAGAATATTTGGTTTTCTAAGGAATTCTAATGTTTTGGTAGCTAATACAGCTCGTTTCGACTCGGCTAAGAGTCTGATTAGATGGATCTGGATTAGGAATGCAACGGTGACGGTAACCGATGGACCGGTTGCCACTATAGACGGTAACCATTTCACCGCTTATCACTATACATCAATCACCGTTCCAGCAGTAAACATCACTATTCACCGATATCCTCCGGTATACACCGATATATAGTGGCACTAACTGTTATTCACCGTTGACCTCTGTATTAACCCGAGTATAGCGGTATACACCGGTATCCACCGGTATTTGCAAAGGGGAAATGGCGGATTGTGTACTTCCGGGATTCTTGTTGACCTCTCGGGATTCCCGTTGTACTCCCTGGATTCCAGAGATTGGGTATACATTTAACTAATCTAACTTTTACAAAATCATCGGTAGTTTAGAGGTACCCACATATCCTTAAGGGCTAAACTATGAGGGTACCCATACGTTCTCAAGGGCTATTATATAGAGGTGCCCTTAGGTCTTCATGTTCTACTATATGAAGATACCCTTGGGGGGCTTAAGACCTATTGTATTATGGAGGTATCCTTGGGTCCTCAAGAACTATTATATGCAGATACCCTTAGATCCTCAAGAACTAGTGTATGAAGGTACCTTTAGGCTCTCAAGAGCTAT